AAAGCAAACTACTGTCATGTGGACAACCAAAATGTGCTTTCTCATGGCTTGGCCTCTCCCTCTTTACCAAAGCTGCATTGCAAACTACATACTGTACATAAAACTTCCTTATGGGTTGAAATTGGCCTGTAAGCCACAGGTTTACCAGCCTTATCTTAAATCATTAACACAAACAATAACATATTTTTTTAAACTGGATATCTAAACGCTCTGAATTTTTACCATTCCATTTAACAAGCAACCTACCAGATTCCTGTTCTACAGTCAGCACAGATCTTCGCCCTTCCCCCACACTCCCTGAACCATCTGCCCAAGAGCTGTTTCACTATAACCTGAAAAATAATGAAGTCTGGTTTCCTACAGCTTTTTATCCTACGTCATTCCCTCCCACAAAGAGCTAGTTGTTCTCCTCCTACTCCTCTACAATGCCCTTGATCAGAATTCTTCCAGTATTGAAATTTGTTTCAATGGGAGTAATGGTGCCAAAGTTCTGGGTGAAGCAAGCAACTAAATGAACATTCATATGGACAAACAGACATCCAGCACAATTGTGTAAAGCTCGTAACAGTACATTTGGTAGCTGTGTATCAACTACATTAACTACTCACTAGGGAAACTGGTGTCCCACACCACGATCTATACTTTAAAAAGTCTGAGGTTCAACTCACATGTGTAAGTAAAAATGCTATCCAAGTGCCTGCTTCCAGAAGCAGGCTCTGGGTAGGAACAAACAAATTATGAAGGGCATTCTTACCTACCATTATGTGACATTCCAACTGAAAGGCACTTTTGAAAACGACAGTATTGGCACTTATTACGATTTTTTTTCTGAATTTTGCAGTTGCGATCACATTTATCATAGATGAGTTTTAAACGAATTGTTCTTCTAAAAAAACCCTATAGAAAGTGCAAGAAAACAATATGTAACGTTAAAGAATGTTGACTACTAAAGTTCAATCATGCAGGTAATTTTTTTTTCTTTTATTGTTTATTGATGTCACTAGCAAAACGATATGCAAGGTATAACCTGTCCAAAGGTAAGAATCTATGCAGTGAAGTGGTGTGTATGAAGGCATGTACAGATTGGAAAACATGAAAGGAGGGAGTAGCTCTTAGCTGTCTTTCTTGGGAGAGGATCAAGAGCCCAGATTACCCAAGCAGATTTGCTCTTAAGGATTAAGTGAAACAGTCACATGTTGCCTTTGTATGCAGTCTCTCAGCGTCCTTTATCAGAAATAACCTTCATCTGTCATATGCGTAAGTCACAGAAACACACAGATTTAACACATCTTTTCTTCATCCAGCAAACATGAGAGGTATGACAACACAGTACGGTGTATAGAAAAAGCCAAGGACACAAAAATGAGCATTAGAGAAAAGCCTATAACTCATCAGATCTTACCATGATGTCTTGATACTGCACTGTAAGGTTAGGCTCCTACTATGAAACTGGAGGGTTAGCAAGTCTAGAAACATTCCGACATTTTGCTTCGCATGACATAACAACATGCCATGTGGACTGTGAGACACAACTATGAACTGGCTCCTCATCTCTAATAGATGTTCTAGCATTATTCTGTAAGATTTATATTTGAATTATATTCTGACACTGCGCATGAAAGAAAAATGTACACATATACAATTATTTCTCTCAACTTACATTATAATTCAGAAAAAAAACGAAAACTAAAACATTAGAAGGAAAAAAAAATAATCTTGTAATTCATGGGCCACATCATCCCCAAAATTATACATTAATGATAACATTAATTTGCCCCAGAGACGTGCACTGGCTCCAGAACTACAAGAGGTACGATACTAAGTGATTCAGGAAGAATGTGGTGGAGATGAAAATTCAGGATTTGTTACTGTTACAATGGAAACGTAGCAAACTCGCGTGCTACTCACAGCTGTACTCCCAACACAAATAAAACACTAGTGGAGCAAGTAGACTTTGATTTTTGGTCACAGTTTAGTGTTTCAAGTTGTTTTAGTGTTTAACCAACTATATCCACAAAAGCAGTATTAAAATTCTCATTGTGAATTGCCCCTGCTTGATGAAGGTCTGGTATTGAGTTACGGTATCCAGTTATGGTATCTGAACAATTTATTTCAGAAAAAAGATTACAGGTATGTTTCTTATTTAAATAATTTTAATCATTAGAATTATATTAATTTATGTAACAAATATTTTTCTTCATATAACCCTGTAAATAAAACAACATGATTTAGGTTCTTAAAAAGAAAATTATGACTGTACCTTACAACCTTCACAAGCATGTACTCCGTAATGGTAGCCTGAGGCTTTATCCCCACAAATTCTACATTCAATGTTTAATGCTCCACTGGGTGATTCATCTATGCTACCTGGAGCTGTGGCAAAATTAATGGATGAAGGACTGGATGCTGGTGAAAGGGTGTCTAAAAGAAAAAGGAACACTTCATAAATACTACACTATCAAGATTGATACCATTTCTATACTAAAACCACACAAAAAATGAGTTTATTCTAAAAAATAATCACAATAGTCATTAAGTGAACTAATAATTTGGCCTAAATGTTTGAAAAATAATTAGTATTTATATTAACAGTGCAAACACACACAAAATACAGGGCGTACCTTGCTAATTTTGATGAGACATACAATGTCAACAAACAAAAAGTTACTTACTGAAGTAACTGATAACAAGAACTAGAAGGGTGATAGGGGTTCTTGAAGATTCAATGAATATGCACCACACAAAATAAGGGAAAACCAAGCTTTTTTGGATTTTCCTGCATTCCATTTTTTACTTTGAATTTTTCTAATGTTTCTCGATTTGATATGAACATGAAATTTTTTTATCCCACAACTTAAAATAAGTAACTAAAAAACTCCTGAATTAATATTGCATTTAAATCAAGGAAATTTTCTTAACCATAAAAATGCACATATACCATCTTCACAAATAACATGAACTTGAAACTGAAAAGCAGTATTCAACATGTATCTAGTGCTCAAGACAAATAGTACAAAATATAAAAAGAAAAAACCCCCACCCCACAATGAAATAGAATCCCCCATGACTTCAAGCGTATATCACAATACCCATTCAACCCATCGCTTGTGCTTTCCAGAAAGGTTACTAATAGCTCATTTTACTGTTGCATCTTCCATCTCTTGTGCCGTAGTGCTGAGCATCAGGTCTATTGCTACGGTATGGCGAGAGGCGTTTTCGTAGCTCACGCTGACTTACACTTAAGATACACTTAAAGTCTCCTTGACTTCTGAAGAGCTGCTTGTAGTTTTAGATGATCTAAACTGAGGCCTAAAAAGCAGTTAGCTTCTCTTTCTAAAGAATTTTCTCAAAGTGAAAGCATGCCCCTGCCCTTCAACTGAAAGGCCGAACAGACACTGAAAGGAGGAAGGCAACACAAAGGTCTGCTTCTAACACAATCCAGCAATAGAAGCCTTGCTCAGGTATTTTATCTTTTGATTATAATGGGGAAAGCATTTCTGAATTGTTGTGCAATGAAATAAACTCTCTAGACATTTTACTACTAGATGAACATGTTACAAAGCTAACACATTCCAACCTTAATTATTTCAATTAATATTTCCACCTTATTTGAGGAAAAGATTGTCTGAGGCCAGAATTTCTTTTGTCTTCCATCTTGCAACTTGCACCATAAGACTTTAACAAATTAATGGGTGTGTTATTTTAACAGAAAGATTAAGAAGCACTCATGAATGTAGGTCAGCAAGTATTATGTTGGAAAAAACCTTGGCATAGGACTCAGTTTGCATTGCCAGCACTGCAAAGCCCACAGGCAGCGGAGTCATCAAGAACAGCCTAAAACCCAGGATTTTTTTTCAAGTGTGATTCTCATTTCTTTTTACTTGCCTTATGGAATTTGAGACTTAAAATTTTACATTTTCCATCTTCTCTGTCAGCAAAACTAGAATGTTTTGCAATGAACACTGAATACTCAAATTAGAAGGTGACAGTAGAAGGTGATCTAAATTATTGTAGGACTTGTACCCACATATACGCAAATAATTAAAAAAAAATCATGTCTCAGAAGGACTACATTATAAACCCAGCACATAAGAACTTTTCCAGTAGAATGTATCTCTCTAGGGTCTGCAACCAAAAGGGACCTAAATCATACTTCTACAAACATTCCTTTGGGCAACAGTGCCAAGAGACAGCTCTCCCTTCTCAACTCAGACTATTCAACCCCTTTAGGACAGAGGCACACCTCAGTTGTATCAGCACAGTTTTTGTAAAGGAAAACAGTGATCACAGCCTGCAAATTGATTTAAAGTAAGAAATGCCCGAAACAAAACATAATGTAAACCAAGTAGAAACTTGATCATAAAACTGCTTAAAATGGCTCTACTGCTAAAAGATTTGTAAAACAATAGTTTCAGAAGGACTACTGTACTGACATTATTGCAATGTCCCATACCACTTCAATTATTTCCGTTTTGATTTCTCAAAGCAAGCCTCTCACAAAGATCTTTTGACCAAGGACTGTGTAATGTATCAGCACTCGGAGACTGTTACTTTAACCAGGGTAGAAGTCATTAGCTGAACAATGCTACTCTTGAGAAGGTGGAGAAAACACGTTCAAAACATCAGTACACTAAAATATACGAGAATTCTAGGTGAGCTTTTAAGAGTTAGATAATAAATTTTTGGCAAACATCTTGCAATATTTTTCAAATATATGTGATTTGAAGAAACTTGAAAAAATAGGGAATTCCTTTAGTGCAAGACTGTGACTTCCTAAATGACTACTATACATAGTAATTTTGCTAGTAATAGTGATTTTTAAAAGTTATTTTGAAAAAAGTGTTGATACTAATGCTAATTTAAACTGTAATTTTTCAATGACATTTGTCTAAAAAATTAACTTTAGCCTTAAATATTTTAAGACCATACTATAATCAGCTTATATGTTTCTAATGTTACTTAGTAATAAACAAGAATTATTGCATTTAAAAAGTTTTTTATTTCTATCACTATGTATTTATAAAAGAAAATTTTATGGTAAACCAAAACTCTCTTACCTGTTATAACTGATCCATCAGATCCTGGACCATTTCCCAGTGACTGGAACTCTGTTAAACTTAAAGCTCCAGAGCTATCATCACCTAGAGACTGAGAGAGGTCTTGAATGTTCTCCATATCTTGTAGGAACTCTCCAGATAAAGGGCTGCCTATATCATCCTCCTCCAAGGGAGTAAGGGGATAGAGCTGGTTTTCAGTGTCCACCATTTTGATCAAGTAGAGTGGTCACTTAAACTTCTTTACACTGGTGAAAGAATAATTAAAAAAAAATCCTGTACTTAACAATATCAGAATATTTTTTTAAAATATTTGAATCAGTTATAGCACACTGAATACATGAATTCTAATCCAATACTTAAATATTATACAACATTCTGTTGCTCCAGAAGCTTTATACAACATGAATCACGCACAGGACAGAGGAAAAGAAAAAAACAACAACCAACCAAACAAAAAACCACCAGGTCCCCAAAATCCTTCAATATGAATTAAAGTCATGGCAAGATCAATCTGTAGATTGTTGTTTTTCTCTCCTTTGCTGATAAAAGTTATATTATTGTTTTATATATATATATAGTTATATATACATATAAAAGTTACGTATTTTGTTTCTATAGCAGGCATTAGGCACTTCCCACCAAAATTTATCTATATGCACACATATTATGTTTGAGCAGTCTTTGCTCATCGTATCTACCAGCTTTATATATGTTGATTTGGTCCTCTGTTCTCACCTCTTTTAAAATTCTTCGATAGGTGTTACGACGCTGCAGAGAACAGAATATTTTTCTATACTAAAATCTTTGTAGAAGTGGGCCAAACTAATACTTTTTGACCTACTTTGGTCAAAGAACACCTTCAGCAAGAGCGCTCCAGTATATACAATCCAATACATCTGTAATTCCTAGAGTTTTATTTCCCGTAGTGAAATAAGTTTTTAAAGTTGCCTTCAAAACTAGCCACCAATGTCATCAACTTTGAGTAACAGCTCAGATTCCTAAGAAAACATCACAGATTTTAGTTCTTCTTCTATTGACTTGTCAGGTAAATGTCCTGCAGAATGTTACTGCTGCACAGATATACTTCTGCTAAAAGGAAAATTCTCTTTTACACTAAGTAACTAACACTTGTGTGATATTCAGTACGTGTACAAAGACTGACTGCTGCAGCCTTGTCCATGCACTGAATATGCACGGGCATTTAGAGAAGCTCGGACCGTTACTGTGGTTACTGCTCAACGCTGGCCTTTGCACGGAACACGTGTTCGCTACAGTTTATTGTGAAGCCTGAAACTGCCAATAACTGGCTCTATGGGGATATACAAATGCTCATTTTACAATAAAAGTGCTATGTTACAATAAAAAAAAAAAATCTTTCTTGATGTTATTTAAAGTTTCAAATACCAACTAGTTTGGTTCCTATGACGCTAAACATTTTATTTCAAGAAATCAATCCTTTTCTTTCATAATCCATGACAGATTCATCCTACGAAAATCAGGCATCTATTCTGGAGAAAAAACGTGTATTTTTTAGCTATGTCACCGACCAAAAGGGTACATTTAAAAGTAATACTAAGTGCTGACTACTACTGCTTTACATACTAGTGACAAAAGACAGCCATCACTTGTACTCAGTTATATCCCTGGAAGTGTTCAAGGCCAGGCTGGATGAGGCTTTGGGCAACCTGGTGTAGCGGAGGGTGTCCCTGTCCATGGCAGGGGGGTTGGAACTAGATGATCTTTGAGGTCCCTTCCAACTCTAACCATTCTATGATTCTATATATAAAAAAACAACTTCAAAACGTTTTGGAGCAAGATACCAACAATCAAGCCTTTTATCCCCAGACTGATGGCAAAAGTCTGCCTTCGATTATATTTCCATAACTTTACAAGGTATTATAGAGATGTTACTAGGGCAGAATCACCTACTCTAAAGAGGACTGAAAGATATGCTTGCAACAACCTGCAATGTGCACATAGTTTTAAATTTATTTATTTTTCAGGTGCACTCATGACTGCACACTTGTACTTCTTTGTGCTATTTCATGGAAAACCAATGGTGCATATATATCTATATATTTTGTTTTCCAATGTGTTCATTACATGACTATAAGGGAAAACAATCAATTAAAAAAAAATAAAATCTGTATAACATAAGGCTTTCTATTCCACAATTTGCATCCTTCCAGCCAATCAATATTATTTGAAGTATATACGTAAGACTTGGAAAAACTTTTCTTTGATTTTCAGAGTACCTAGATTTTTTAATTGCGATACCAAATGGCTGTAGTGGTACATCCTTTGTACCCATTATTCATTTTTAGCCAAATGAATAGACATAAATGTTAACCCCTCAGGTACAAGGGAAGATTGACATTGTAGTGTAATCATAAACTCCGATGATTAAAACAAAACAATGTTTTAGCTCTCCTTGGGCAATTTATTACAGTTCTGTGCATCATTGTACCTTGTTTTTGAAATAAACTATGTTGAGGCTAAAAAAAAGAGTTTATTTAAACAGTGTCTAGTTAGATTCACTTTCCTGTAATTCATGAAACTAATAGTTACGGTATTTAGCTGTGACACAATTTTTCCAACCCAAATACCATTGTAGAGCAAAGATACAGATTTTTTTTTTTCCCCAATGTAACAGCTTACCATATACTTGGTAATTTACTAGTAGTGTTTCTAAGGATAGAACTAGAGAAGTAGCAGACACAAATACACAGCAAAATCCAGAGCTTCTACTCATTTTACTCAGGTCACATGCTAAAATTGAGTTCTTTATGAAAATAAACAGTGAAGATTTCAGGATCTGTCCAGCATAACTGAGATAGTAAAGTTTTCACAAGGTTCATTGTATTTTTACTATTAAAACCAAGCCAAATACAACTGTCAGTTCTGAAGGCTGAAAGGAATCACAAATTACAAGAATCGTATTTCTAAATATCTGACGTTATAAATCAAATGAGACAGAATTCCACTCTCCCCTCTTGAGTACAGAAAAAACCCAGATACTGTCACTATAATTAACCTGCCATCTCATGCTACAAGGACCCTTAGTAAAGATCCGTTTGCCCAATTTCTTCGAAACTGGATAGTTTTAACTAGAAAAGGAAAACATGTTCTATATCAAATGCTGTAGCAAATAAGAATATCTAGGAGAATAAGAATGGAAATTTATCCATGATTTCTAATACCAGTTACAGACAACAGGTATATTACTGTTGATTTTACTTGGATGTGCCACATTGATACTCTATTACTATGCACATCTTGGCTGTATTTAAAAATAACTGTCAAATTAAGTTACCCAATTTGATATATTAAATACTCATTAGGACATTGTGCCAGATTGCCAGCACTGTAATAGAATATTTATAAGCAATACAAGCGTTTTCATGCACATCTCAACTTCTTTCTGAAGGGATCAGTTGAAAGGCTGGTGCAGTTTTTACTTTAAAAGCATCCAAGCAACACTGATTGTGATGCCTAATTATTTTACAATTTAACAGTATTGTATTGGAAACTGAAACAAAATAAATTCTTTCCCATAGAGGACTGAAGTGTAATTGCTATCAGTTATAGTCCCTACAGAATTTCTAGAATCTGAAACTATTTAGTAAAATAAACTCCAATGGTCACTTTCTTTTAAAGCTCAACAGTTGCCCTGTCTCCAAGAATCACTTTCGTTTCTCTTATAAATCCTACTGGCTTGAAACCTGACAAAATACTAGGAAATATCTACATTTGATACTCAGAAGCCTCTCAGAAAACATAGAATAGAAATTAAAATGATTGCTACACACATGACCATAGTTACTGAAGAAAAAATAAAAATCAGAAATTACATTAATAAATAAAAGACTAACTCTAAATAAAAGACTACTTAAAAAATACAAATAAATAAGTAGCCTAATGCTTTAGGAATGTATGGTCACACACCAAAGGATTATCTGACAAAGATTTTTATTCCTAACCATCTGCATGTATTCAGAACAATGCTTCCAATCTCATGAAGACTCTAGATAAAGAGTAATTTTGCAGATGCAGAGTGCCTCACAAAATATTACTCTCAAAAAGTATGAAAGACAAAGAATCAGCTACAAACACTTCTGGTTAACATCATCTGTTATTCTCTGTCAATATTTTCAATCTTCAATATCTTTGCACAATTTCTCTGTTGAGGCAGCATGAACCAGCTCAGTAACACCTGGAACTAAATGCTGTTTGCTGTCAGTTATCCAACAGAGTCCAAAACATTACATTATGCACCTGATATCCTCGATATAACTGGAAGATAATTTACTCCAGTTGAGAAATGAGAAATCACTTTTACGTATTTTATTTCTGAAAACGAAGTTGAATTGCTATCCCTGTGACACAGCTATTTTGTGGTGAGGGAAGAGTAAAGATACCTTGACGTACGCTCTTTTTGTAATGATAGCCATGAATAGCAACAACTGTTCTCTGGCAATCCAAAGGAGACTACCAAATTCGTCTCCTTAAGGAGCCATCAACAAAAAAGGAAGAAAAGAACGGCGGAGCATATGATCGGCACTGCTCCTCCTGTGTGCTCTTCACGAAGTTCTCCCAGGTTAACACAGTTGTTCACAGCACAGAAACATTACATCCCTCTGCAGACATGTAGCACGAGTACTCTGCGCCCAGGTAGCTGGGGAGCTTCCAGGAGGCACTAGGCTCCTCGTACCCACTGCTACTTCAAGGTCCCTACTGAATCATGTACATCTCTCCAAGGACGATTTCTGGGTCCAGCACAAGTATTTTTAAGAGAAGTCCACCTTGAAACAAAATAGGCATTATTTGACAGGAAAGCAAAGGAAAAGCTTGATCGCTGAACTCTGAACATGGCAACAGCTCTTTCAGCAGCCTGCCTGGTATTGCCCAAATGGCACTATACATTTCCACATTTACAGTAAATAGTTAAAACTCAGCAGTCTTTTTAGCCAAATTTATCTAAGAATGACCTAACAGCTAGTGAAACATAAGTGAAGGGCTTATTGTTTTAACTATTAAATTACATACCCTTTTGTACTTTGAAACACTACTAGTAAATTACAGCTGCTTAATCATTATGGCTCTTGTCACTGATTAACTAGCTACCTTAGCAAGCACAGCCGTTACATAACCATTTCTGAAAACTGTCAAAACATACTGATATTTTCATTACTGAAAAGGTTATTTTTTTTCTCATAAGCATGAAA